TCCCCTTTCTGTCCAAAATCCTGGAAAAAGTAGTTTTTACTCAGTTAAATCAGTTTTTAACTGAGAACAAAATCTTTGAGGTCTTTCAGTCTGGTTTCAAGCAGCTCCACAGCACCGAAACAGCTTTGGTTAGGGTTTGTAATGACATTTTAACAGCAAATGATTCTGGTCATTTTGTAGCTCTTGTACTCCTCGATCTTACTCCTCGATCTTACTGCCGCTTTCGATACTGTTGACCACAGTATCCTCATCTCTCGGCTTGAACACTGGGTTGGGATTACAGGTGCTGTATTAGACTGGTTCCGCTCATACCTCTCTGCCAGGAGTTTTTGTGTGAAGGTGGGTAAAAAGCTATCCACTTCAATGCCTCTTTCCTGCGGTGTCCCGCAGGGCTCGATTCTCGGACCCCTTCTATTTTCGCTCTATCTGCTTCTAAGAAAACATGGTATTCCATTCCATTGCTACGCTGATGACTGTCAGATCTACCTGCCACTGAAACCAGCCAGTGCTTGTTCCGTCCACCCTCTCCTCAAATGTCTGGACGACATTAAGACATGGATGGCTTCAAATTTTCTAAGTTTTAACGACCAGAAGACTGAAGTCATTGTCTTTAGCCCTAGCTCAGCTGCCGCCTCTTATCCTGTGAACCTGGACTCCCTTCAGCCTTATCTGAAGCACTCTGTTAAAAACCTCGGAGTGGTTTTTGACTCGGATTTTAAGTTCGACAAACAGATCAGTTCGGTTCTGCAGAGAAGCTTCTTCCAACTGCGGCAGGTAGCTAAGCTCAAGCCAGTGCTGTCTAGACCCGACCTTGAGACACTAGTCCATGCATTCATCACAACCCGCCTGGACTATTGTAATTCACTGTATGCTGGGGTCAGCCAGGCCTCTATCTCACGGCTACAGCTCGTCCAGAATGCTGCAGCTCGGCTCTTAACCGGTACACCGAGGTATGAGCATATCACACCAGTTCTGTCCTCCCTACACTGGCTTCCTGTGAGAACTAGGATAGATTTCAAAATTCTCCTCCTGACCTATAAGTGCCTAAATGGCCTCGCACCATCTACCTCTCTGAGCTACTGGAACCATATGTTCCCTCTCGGGCTCTGAGATCATCCGATCAGCTGCTTTTGGTTGTTCCAAAAACACGACTGAAGCTCCGAGGAGATCGGGCGTTTTCAGTCATGGGTCCCAAACTGTGGAACAACCTACCCCCCAACGTTAGGCATGCCACCTCCCTTCCTGTGCTCAAATCCCTGCTAAAAACATATCTGTTCTCTCTGGCGTTTCATACTGTGTGAGTTGATTTAGTATATCTTGTTCCATGTCTTCATTTTAATGCTGTTGTTTTAATTTTTTAAGGTATATTCTTACTGCTTTTTATTTCTTAGTGTTACCCTTAGTGTTAAGCACTTTGATAACAGTCTATCTGTTTTAAATTGTGCTCTATAAATAAATATGACTTGACTTGACTAACCACTCATCCACAGCCGCCCTTTTAAAGTGACAGTTAAATTGATATTATTTTCTGAAAATAAATATGCAATGAGACTAATCTTTGTGGTGTGTTTTATTTTGAAGCCAAACATTACTCAAGAACGCTGATTCAGAATTTAGACTACTGTTTTTAAATTTACAGTTTATTCTCTATATTTTTTACTTAAGCATTCTGTTTTAATAATTCATTAATCAAACCATTCAGTGTAAACCATGTGCCACAACTTTAAGCATTTGTCATTTGAAAAGTTCCTTATTTTATTATTGATTTTTATTTATTAAAAAAAATTACAGATAAAAATCTCTTCAATTAAAATAACTTATTTTACTGATCTGCTAATTAAAATAAAACCTTTATCAACTGTTTGGCTAACTGTTGCCAACACGAAGTGACAGTTTTGCTCATTTGAGCTTTTTAACTCTAATTTGGCAAACTTCAGGTTTCATCTATAGTTTTGCTAATTTTATCTTTTAGCTACTTTTGCTACATTTTGAACTTTTTGCTTTGGTTTTGCTGAGTTTTGCTTTTAATTACTAATATGTTTGTATTAACTTTTACCTACAGCTTTGTTAGTTTTATCACAGCTAACTTTGCCATTTAGCTACGGTTTTACTATCTTTTAGCTACTGTTTTTACTAATTTTATCTTTTAGCTACCTTTGTAACAACTTAATTTTTAGCTACATTATTTCAAAGTTTATGCGTGTTTTAATTTTTCAACTACGGTTTTTATTAATTTTACCTTTCAGCTACAGTTTTGGTCATTTCAGCTTTTAGCTCTGGCTTTGCTGATCTCAGCTTCAGCTCCTTGTTTCAACAGTTCACTTATCAACACATTTCATCGGAGCACGCAGTGTTCACGCGCCTTTCAGAGGAAAATACAGTTTTCTTGTTACTTTTAACATTTCCCTCAACTCTTTCCTGGTAATTCAGAGCTGCTCCTTGTTTATTGTTTGTAGGCATTAAACCGAGCCGGCCGCTGCAGCACCGTCCCTCCCTGCCCCCAGTCACAAGGTCTGCGCTCCACTGGTCTCTGAGGGCCGTGAACGCCTCACCACCTCTGCTCAGAGCCCAGCTGAGCTCAGTCTCTTCTCTCGGCTCTGTCTCGTCTTCTTCTTCTTCTTTCTCCTCTCAGAGTCCTCTCAGTTCCGGTGGATTCATGCGCAGCTCTCGCCCGCCGCGGTCGCCATGCAGAACAACCACCATAAGGAGCGCCTTTACAAGATCCTTGTGATAGGGGACCTGGGGGTCGGGAAGACCAGCATCATCAAGCGCTACGTGCACCACAACTTCAGCCCCAACTACCGCGCCACCATCGGGGTGGATTTCGCCCTCAAAGTCCTGAACTGGGACCAGGAGACGGTGCGCCTGCAGCTGTGGGACATCGCAGGTAAGGGGCCAACTTTTACGCACGGCGCGCATCGAGAATATCCATTTATTTATTTTATTGACTATATTGTTGGGAAACTACAGAGAGCTGTTTTAAGCTTTAAGTTTTAAGTCATCTGTATGAGAATGTGTTTTAAAATGAATAGTTTTGTCTTTAAAATCAACTGAAACTCACAAAATACTTTACACTCACAAAACTGCTTCAAGCAATTAACAAAATTAAACACTTTAAAAATAAAACAATAAATAAAACTAGAGCCAGACTAAAGCAAGAGCTCAAATTACACCCAAAGCTGGAGCACTTTCTTGACTTTATTGAGCTTTTATTTCCCTCCAAACAGATGTTCTGAGGTTTACAGGCCCTGATTGTTAATCTCTTCATGCACAGAGACAGAGGAGTGTGTTGCCAGATCACGTGGTAACAGGTTGAATTATAAAAAAAATATGGACTTGAAGAGTTTTTATGATGTTCAGCATGAACCTGTGCACCATTTGGATCCTAAAGCATTAGTCCTCAAAACAGCTGCCATCCGGCATTACATCATCTTTAAGTTGTTGATACAGATGTTTGGATGGATCAGATTCATAAGCTGAGTTTATGTTGGGTTTTGCTTGTGTGAGCACTCCGGTTTAGTGTGTGATGCTTTATTTACCTTTGGAGCCTGTTGGTGTGATGAATAATGTCTTTTGACTGGAACTGCTGGTTATGTGACAGAGCTGAAGGCTACAGCGCGCTCATGTCACATGAGTGTCGGCTGAGGTTCAGAAGAATCCTCTGACCTGCTGCGCTCTCCCCTCCTGTAAGAAGTCATGTGTCTCAGGCTCATATGAGGGAGATTTGAGGCCCAGGATCTCGTATACAGAAAGCTTTTGTTATTAACTAAAAAAAAAAAAGTATCTGCCTTGGAGAAACTTTGAAGGTCTCGTGCTGTACTTTAAAGGTTCCCTGCACTTTGTTAGGATGAGGTCTGTGCAGAAAATGAAAAGGCCTGTGATGAAAATCATCTCTGTTCATCCCAGGATCAAAATATTTGACTTAGTCTACAAACTGTTCAGTGAACCAGCTCCTAAATGATTTTTTTTTTTTTAAATGGACAATAACTGGTGACATTTTTTCAGTCTTTTACTACAAGGCCAGGATAGTGCTGGGATTGATGGCAATGTTTTCTGCTGCTGCAGATGCAATAAATCACTTTCTGTTTCTCTGTATGTCCCAGGATAAACAACTTCAGTCCACGCTATATTTGTTTGCCATTTTTCCAACATTTGAACTCACGGGGCGACAGAGCTGGACTCTCAGGCTTACCTCTAAAATAGGATAAGTTCAGCTCATATATAATCAGCTTTTCCTCCTTTTGAAGTTTCATTCATTATATAAAATGGCACAGAGATAAACATGTAAAGACTCTGAAACCTGAGGGTTGAAATGCTGCAGTAAAACATGATTTATGAATCATAAAACAGGATGGAGTCAGTCAAGTATTCATGTGCATCAGTCAAATCTGGGTGACACTAAATTTAAAATGTTTTTCTGTCAACATGTTTCCCACCATCCTGACATTATAAAGGGCATATTTTTAACCTTAAACCAAAAAATGCACAATCTGTGGGTTTTTGGTTTGTTTTTCATCACAATTCAGTTTATTAGCTTCAAACATCATTATCACCCTCTGCTCAAAGGCGAAGGCAAAAAAATAATGTTTTCAACCTTATTTGTGTGTGTGTCTAGAGAAATCTCAATTAAACTCATATACAACAGCCAACAGAGTTTAGAAAACACAAAAAATGGGTATAACTCAGTCATTATTACAGATAATGAACTAAAATGTAGTGTAGTGGCTGAGAGTGATTTACAGTGCACGTGACATCTCATGCAAGGTTTGACCGAAAAGGTTGCACCTGCCATTTTTCATCATGAGATGAACTTTCTATATATCTCTGGCATGAAAAATCAGAATGACATGCTCTCCTTCAAGGAAAGCTAGGCCTTTAATTCAGTTCAGTTTATTTATATATCACAACAGAAGTCGTCTCAGGACACTGCAAACACATTCATACATAAAAACTCAATAAGCAACATTATTTATGTAAGGTGGGGTAGCCAGCACATTGTGTTGAGTCTTCATTTTGTCAGTCTCCCATCCTGAGCAAGCACAAAGGCAACAGTGGAAAGGAAAAACTCCTTCCTGACAGGAAGAAACCTCCAGCAGAACCAGCACAGGACAAGCGGCCGTCTGCTTCGACCAGCTGGGCCTTCAGTTTATAAAGTTATTGCTCGATAAACAAGCTGGATGACTTCAATGTCCTGGGTCTGAATTGGATATTTGTTGCACATGTGAATATCACGTGTGTGAGTAGCACCTTTAACGCCATACGTTTCTGAACATTTTCTGCTGTTGCCTGTATTCAGACCTGAATATGTGAAACACAGTTCATGTGTTTTGATGGGGTTCTATGGGAAGGCAATAATCACTACTTTACCTGTTGTAGATTGCTCTTTGAACATCCTCAGTTTGGAGAAACTGACTTTAATTCTGCACGGACGATGAGCTTTTTGCTAGTCTGGGCGGAGCCAAGACCAAAGTGATGTCTTAAAACAAGTTAATTCCCAATACCTTCTTACAGGTTGAAGCTCACTTAATTTAATTAATGTTTGCATGCAATTATTTTTACAGTAAATGGTTATTCAAAGCTATTTCTACAGGAAGTGGTGCAGTTAGTTGTAGTTTGCATTCTGCGCAAAATACTGTGTGATGTCAAGCTAATGGTGATGAACCACCATGAAATGTCTGAGAAGTAGAAGACGGCAATCTCATTTAGCCGCAACCCACAATAGCCATTAGCTCCTTAGTCCAGTTATCCAAAGAACTATCTACAACAGGTAAGATACTAACTGTTCAGAACCTTTCCAGATAATTCTACTTGAAAAGATCTGAACTATCACATTAATAGACCAAAAACATTTGTTCATATATGATTAGCTTGATGTTTTATGGTTCAGAGTAAACTCCATGTTCATGTAGACATATAAAGTGATGTAGCTCTCAGCTTAACATATTTTAATACTGAACATCCCAGTATAAGGATGTGTTCGTAAGATAAGCACTCGCCTGACGTGTCCTTGAACAATACTGTCACCATGCCAGCTGTTCTGCAGCTGACCCTGTGCTCTGATCCACCTGTTCATGGTAGAAACACTTCAAATGGTAAATGGACTGTGCTTATATTACACCTTTCTGTCTAATCAAGATACACAAAGCACTTTACGACACAACCTGTGCCTTCATTAACCTCCACACACACACAATCATACAGCACTCTACTACAGTACATCTCTAAAAAGATAATCTGAATCTGTAGAGACTAATCATTGTATGTGCTGAAGAGTTGGAAAGACCAGTTTTGATGTTTTTGGTGAAAATGTCCAGAGGCAGAATTTATTCTGAAGCTTTTTGTGGTCCTGTACAAATAATAGATGGGAAGGTCTGGTTGGGTAAAAAAGTTCCAGCAGGGATAACTTGATTTCATTTTAGCTCCGTAAATCTTTGCAGATCATTTCACAGGCAAACACAAACAAATCACACATCTCCTGATGCATGCTCAATAATCCAGGTAGAAAAATCTAAAA